TAGTAAGTAAAAAACAATTTCTCACTGCTGTCATCATTTGCCTTTCCATAGCAAATACATGAAGTCCATCTCACTGCTAGTGTTCATTAGTTATCTGCATTTATTCTTTAAATTGCCTTCTCACAGTCTTTGCTCCATCATAATCTTTCCTCAATTTTTTCTTGAGTTGTTTGCCTTTTCTTAGAATTGGTAAAACCTTCTTGTATATTAGAGATATTAACCCTTTATCTTTATTACAAATTATTTTCCTAGTTGATTGTCTTTTGACTATGTTTATATCTTTTGCCATACAGAATTTAAAAATTTTTATGTAGCCCAATATATCTGTCTTCTCTGGCATTATGTTTTCTTGTGTCCTTTACCCTTAAAGGGTCTTAGAGAGTCTCCTTGAACCCACCCCCCCAAAAAAAATTTTAGAGAACATTCTCAAGTACATATGGTAATGATGGCGGATTTTTAACTCCAAGATTCTCAAATCCCCACAGAAGTCTGGTAGGTAATGGAAAGTGATAATACCCAACCAGTAAAAAAAAATATAAGATATACTAGGGCTCTGATAAAAGTGGAATGTACACACCCCGTTTGAAGGAAGTAGGTGATACCATCAACCTAAAATAATCAAAAGGGACAGAGCCTAACTTAAAGAAAGTTTATTCAAGTTTGAGGACAGCCCACCTGGAAATACCAACTCCAAAGCAATTAGGTCAGCACTTCGAAGTAGAAAAATAAAGGTTTCATTTATGTAAGCACAAACAGGAGTTTTTAGCAGGACTACAACATTTTTCATACAAAGTTGGTGAATAGTTACCTCAGTTTGATTGGTTAGAGGCAGTGTTTCCTTTGGAAAGGGTACATTTAACATTTTTTACAGAGGGTTTAATAGTCATGGGTTTTGTGTCATTGGTCTAAGCAAAGCAGGACAACAAAGGGGAAGTCGATCTATAACAAGTGTCATTAATTAAAAAGGCGGGAGGTTTTTGTCCCTGAAAATCATTTGGTTCTCTCTAGTCATTATACAGAAAAAGAAAAATCAGAAAGCAAGTTAATCTATAGTCTCAGAAGCAGAAGTCATAACCATATTTGACTCAGAACATCTCTCTTACAGCCTACAATGTTTTGGGGTTCCAACAGCTTTTAAAGTATACTCATTTCACACTAAATTCCAGTCAGGATCGGCCCTTGGGTAATGCAGACTCATTGTTACCACATCTTTTTTTTGCCCCTCCAAGAAAAGTCAGTCAACCAGATTTTTATATAAAACCTCCCAACTTTATAGTATATGCTAACCCAGTTTTCAGAAAACAAATTGCCAAGCCCAGACCAGACGTGTCAGTGAGTCTCTGACATAAAGCTTAGTTTTTTCAGGGCACTTTCACTATAAGAGAATGAAAGACCTACGGATTTGCTGAGCATCTACTGTGCATAAGGCACTGAGCCTTATGTACATCATTTTTGTAATCCTCAAAATACTTTACGACGTACTTTCACTATACCTGTTCTACAGATAAGAAAACAGAAACTAAGGATGGATTAAAAATTCACCCATGTTAATGAGCTAGTAACAGAGTCAAGATTTGAATTCAGGTTTTGGTGGGGTTTTTTTAGTTTTGTTTTGTTTTCGGGCTCTAAAGAGTAGCTATTTCAACCATATCATGCTATCACCCTCACCAAATTCCGAAGTAGAAGATCCTATTAAAACTCTCGAACATCTAGGCATAGAAGGAACATACCTCAAAATAGTAAGAGCCATCTATGAGAAACCCACAGCCAGCATATTGCTAAACAGACAGAAATTGGAACTATTTCCCCTGAAAACCGGAACAAGACAAGGATGTCCACTCTCTACCCCTCCTGTTCAACATAGTTTTGGAAGTCCTAGCTAGAGCAATCAGACAAGAGAAGGAAATCAGAGGTAGCCAAATAGAAAAAGAAGAAGTCAAGTTATCCCTCTTTGCAGATGACATGATTCTATACCTAAAAAACCTAAGAGAATCTGTCAAAAACCTCCTTGCACTGATAAAGGACTTTGGCAAAGTCTCAGGGTATAAAATAAATGTGCAAAAGATAGTTGCATTTCTATACACCAACAAACAAAGAGAAATCCAAATAAAAAACACAATCCCATTCACAATAACCACCAAAAAAAAAGAAAGAAAGAAATACCTTGGCATCTTCCTAACCAGAGACATGAAAGACCTTTACAATGAAAACTACAAAACACTGCTCAAAGAAATCAAAGATGAGCCAGGCTCGGTGGCTCAGTCTGTAATCCTGTGCTTTGGGAGGCTGAGGTGAGTAGATTGCCTGAGCCCACAGGTTCAAGACTCACTTGGGCAACTTGGTGAGACCGCATCTCTACAATAAATCAAAAAATTAGCCAGGCATGGTAGTGCACACCTGTAGTTCCAACTACTGGAAGGCTGAGGCGGAAGGATCACCGGAGCCCAGCAGGTCAAGGCTGCAGTGGCCGGAAGTGGCCACTGCACTCCAGTCT